TATATATATATATATATGTGTAAACATATTTGTTAATTTCATTTTTTCAGCGACCGCTGCGATAGCGAGCACTGTGCAGATCGAGTGCGCGAGTGAATCGATAATCGTTCATATCTCGACGGAGCATAACACGGATTTCCACGGTTTGGTCTATCCACGTGGCTTATCGAAAAACAGTTCATGTCTACAGGAGTACAGGAGTCAGCCCGTTCCTATCACTTACAATCTGCCGCTCAGGTCCTGCAACACTATGCCCACCGAACTGGTGAGTTTTTCCTATGAATTAATCGTTACTTCTACAAGTTGACAGAGACATTTTGCGTATGCATCTTTTTTGTGCATACGTACATTTCTTCACAATCCAATTTCTTCATGTTTGTCAATAATTTTTTTACTAATTGCTAATATCTTTCCCTTGTGTTTACGGGCTGATTAACAACGGCGTAAATTATCGTGCGCAAGCCAATTAGATTATTACCATTATTTTAACAAGCGATGGAATTATCGGGAAGGAAGCGATGTAGGGAGGGTAGGAGGAGAGACAATCACCATTATTATGTTGCATCACCCATCTGCACCTTCGATCGATCGTTTTAATTCGGTTTTATCGCTTCTCTATCCGTTTAAGTGCCTCGCGGCAATTTTCCAGTATAGCGTTAGTAACGGTAATTACCTACGATTTCTGCTGTAGGCCGGATACAGATCAAAATTATTCGAAAGGCACGAAGAGAAGCTCGTTTAGAGATGGAAGTGGAGGTGATATCTGTAATCTTCAACGTGTGGTGCAAGTCTCCTTCCATTTTCCTTGTTTATTCTGATATACCTGACTCAGAACTAGTCTGTGGCCATTTTAGGAATAAATTTAAAATAATGTGAAAATATCGACAAAAAGTCACTCACACTGAGAGAAATGATTTTGTTATAGAAACAAATCAAGATAAACAAATTTGATATTTGTTTAAAAAACAATCGATATTTGTTATGATTGCAAATTAATTTGTCAATGTAATAAATAATTTCGCTAGCAAATAAGAGGCTCATATATATATATATATATATATATATATATATACACACACACATAAAAGTCGTAAACGAATCTCAAATCGTAAGAAATTAAACAATTCTAGTTAAGTATTCTCCCTATATTTGATTGTGTGTGCTTGGACAGTTTCCTATGACTTAAGACTCCACGATCATCTACGATTTTTATGTAAACGAATCTAAAGTCTATTCAAAAGATAGATTAGATTCTATATAGTTTGTTTCTGTTACTAATAATTGGTTGATAATGATAGCAGACTAGCAGCAATCACAACAAAATTTGTTATCATATATACCGATTAAAGGTACTGGTGGTTTAAATTAAAATCCTTTCTCTCAGTGCAGATCAACATTTTCAACATCTCTAATTCTCCTTGATAGCCTATAAATTTTGCCTGAAATTTACCTTCTTTTTCCATATCTAAAGCTGTTTTCGAGATCCAAAAGTGAGATCAGATTTTAGAGACTCTATATACGCTAAATCTGTTACGTGCTCGCGAATTGCGCGAAGCTCGTTCGTGGCTAGCTGGAGCGCGTCATTGGCATCCTGTTCCAGCGCAGCCTCAACCGGTACGGGTGTCCTTGACTATAGCCTTGCGAATGCATCGCGTTGCAGCTGCAGACGCGTGCGCGCGGTAGCCAGCGATTAATCAGACGTAGCGAGTTAAAAGGATGCCAGAGTGATGGCCGAGTTTGATCGTTATCGGTACAAAACTTTTTAATTACAAATAAAAATATCGGTAATAATAATAATTTTAATTTATTTCTTACACATTATTATTCTGTTTTACTCAAACTCATACATCTGTCCTTACCTAACATAATGCAGCGCCATCTCCTGCAAGATTCGACATTTACTGCTGTGCTTATTATTCTATTCTTCACTAAGCATATAATTTGCTGAATATAAATCTCTTTTTTAAAGTTTTCATTCTTAATTCTATAAACTCAATACTGAATTTCAGATTAAGATTTCTACCGCTTCTAAACATTTAAATCATTATCTCCCCTATTTAACCTTGAAACTTGGAATGTTCCAAGCCTGTTCGCAACGAACAACCAAAAATGAAATTTTTTTGTGAACATTTCAGTAGTAATAAATTTTACCGCAAACCTTCTCGTTCCAATTTATGTACCTATATATCGATGATTGCACGAAAAAAAATACTGGCATGGCCCCTCTTAGATTTTTTTCTGGTAAAACGAAATTGACACAAAGATCGCGAATCTCGATTTGAAACTACTGATCGTTGATATTGATCGATGCACATTTTTTTTTAATCATCCACGTCTGGCAAAAAATGGCTAAGAATTTTTTTCAAAACAAAATGCCACTCCTTTAAACTTGCCGCCTCTAAGCATAACCTTAGGTTAGTCTTTAGTGTTAATGCGGCCCTGAAAGCGTCTCCAAGATGTTCAGCTTTCGCCGATAGCGTCAATTTACCACGCAAAAGGCTAGGAGGCAGCTGTTCTCACTCTCTCTGTTAGCTCTCGTTCTCAGGTATCTTCACCCATAAAATTGCGATCTCGTTCTTGACACGGAAAGCCGCACGGCGTGGTTTCCAAGTTTCGCGGAACGCGTTGCTCAACATCAAGATAACGCTTTTTATTTCCATTTTCTCGCTCTTCAGCATTTGTTATGAATTGAGATTTCCCAGCCAGATGCATCAGCCTTGTTCAACAATGCCGTCAATTCACATTCATAGATCGAAGTCGTTATACAAATTAATACGATGTCGCGGACGTGGTTAGAAATAAAAAAAGAAGAAAATAAATGTTCTGTATGTACATTTTCTACAAAAAGTAGTTATAAAAATAAAAGAATACAAGAAAATATCAATATAATGTGTTATATCGGTCACTTAGTTAATAATAACGTAATATGTCTTTCAATAATAAAGTTAATTATTACATCTATGTTTTGCTCTTCTTGATAATTTCGTAATAATTATAATTTAATTATTACGATTCGTTAATTAAATTATAATTATTATGATTCTTTTTTGTTTTAACAGTTAGAGATATCAATGCACTCTATCAAAGCATCGCAGATGGATGCGTTGTAGACATAACGGACACGTAAAATATTCTGATATTATAATTCCCCAACAAGTCACATGTAACATACATGTTAATTGTAATTTCTCATTCAACAATATAACTGTAATATAACACACATGTTATATTACAGTTATATTTATATTGAGTGAGAAATTACAACTAACACATACGTTATATGTAATTTGATGTTTGTTAGATTATAACGTCGTATACGAGATGCAGGATAACGGTTGTTCTGACGTCATTTTATGCATGATATATGCATCCAACAATCTCGCGTTTTTTGTTCTTATCCGCGGAATAAAATCGGAACAAACTGTTAGATCAAAGTCTAAGGCAACCGTGCACATAGTGTGTTATATGTAGGTATATAACGATTTCGCACCCTCCGTTTTTTCTCTTTTGCGCTTTGACAAAAAAGTCACACGCTGCATTTTAATGCATACCAGACAGCGTCTGTCATGGTACGTTACGGTCACTAATAGTAACACCGTTACACTGCCCGTTACGTTTTCACGATGGCACGCGGGTTCTTCGTATCCGCCGCCAGAAGGAAACGACCGATTCACTTCACGATGCGTAAGCGATAAATGAAGATCGTAAGGAGTGACGAACAAGATCCGTATCGGTCATCGCATTGTGCCCTCTCATCCTTTGCTGATCCGATCATCGTTCGAGTTTCGCGACACCATGCTTGCATGGCGCCAAACGTAACATTGGATCCCAAAAATTTTAATTCAATATGATATCTAATTAATTTCGCTCGCGACAATATCATTCAAAAAGTTAGGTTCCATCGCATGCTCGATGATAATACTTTTACTCAGTGAGAGATAACTTTTGATTAAGTCTGTATGTTTATACGCCGCACGCACACGCGAGAAACAAATAAATATTGTAACAAATAAATAACGTAACTTATTATATTTATTATATATTCTCCCTTCAATTCATATGACGAATTGACAAAAAAAAAATGTTTACGAAAATTGCAAAATCTTTTCACAGCTCTATTTTTCAAATTGTACGTAAAAAGTTATGAGATTTTTTTTCACAATCTCCACTTTATATTTCTCCATTATATACTAGTTTTTTAATAACATATCATTGCTAGTTTAGGTCCTACAAAAATAAACACGACATTTTCATGAACTTCGTAGGCATACGCAACATATATAAAAAGTGCAGTTTTTAATTTCTTATATCTCAATATTGAAACAGTCGATCTCATTGTAATTGCACAAACGTGTCAACGTTTTCTAGTATACAATGTAGAGTTTCAATTTCAAGAGATTTTGACTGTTTTCAATTCACGAGTGTGTACTCTTAATATAAAATTTTACGCGGTAAAAAATTAAGAAAGATCAAGGTTACGTGAAAAATGTAAGTCAGTTGGAAATTTTTTTGTGGATGTCGGAATTGAGAATCACTGTTGCATACGTGACGACTGGCAAGGTTCTACGAACCTTGTAAGGATCGGAGGAGAAGCTGCTCGCTTTCTGCACACAGTAGGTAAAGGTAAGACGTTCTGCGGCCAGTACGACAACTGCTGGTACAACCCATTGTTCTACAGTTTAAGACGAATTTACATAAATGTAAACTTGTAAAATCGGTGATTGTGACTTGTATTCGACATCGCTTCGAAACAGATCGATAAGTCAAATTCGCAATAATGATATGAAGTAGCAAATAAACGTGACGTACTTGTATTTTTAACGTGCATTTTAGGATGTATCTCATATTTTCACAAATATGTTAGTATTTATATTAAAGGAAAACAAAGCCTATAAGAGACAACACAAGATGGATTTAAATTTTTAATAAACAAATAAATAAATTTTACTTATTTACAAAACATCTAATTTCTGTCGCGACGAAATATATAATAAATCATCTTAAATATTTAAAGTTTTTTTAGACAAGAAGTTCAATTTCTCTCATTGTTTTTTAATTACACTTCTATTAGAACACAGAAAAAATCTTATTGAAATTTTATTAAAGTAATTTTTAACTCAAATCCTAAATCATCCCTAAAAAATATTTTGTACTATTTTTAAATGCGATTTAGAATAATCTGTAATATTTTCATTATTTTGAAAATATATGTCATTAATTGCTGAACAAATTATCTATTTAATCACAGATATCGTAATAATATCC